CACTGGATTCACAATTTTCTTTTGGACGTCTGAACAATTGTGAAAATGAAGTCAGGATCTCATTATAGTACAATAAGTAAAACTCTGGGTGAAGACATGTGTTTGACAGCTTGTATATGACAGTGCTCCCTGGGGTTCAGAAGATGGTTGCCCAACACCCCCACCTTGCCATCTGTCTGGATCCATTGTAGCTTGTTGTAAATCCCGCAAGGATACTCCCAGTGAAGAGAGACAGAAACATGGAAAAGTGCTTTTAGGAAACACAGCACACCCTTAGCCTGTCACGAGAGTTGAGTATGACATGAAAGTCTTGCTATGCCTTGAACTCTACACTGCTCAAAAGGTTATCATCAAGTTTAAATATAATAGTGACTGAGTTGCCACTAACTGAACACAGAGGAATTGTTTGTAGACAATGCTGTGTACATAAATATACCTTTCTGAGATGCACTGAAACGTGGAATAAACAAAGGATGACCTACGAAACTGCATTCGCACTTAAATTTTACAGTCCTACTATTATACCCAGAAACTACAACTAAAGTTGTAAGTAATGATGGTCATTGGAAGGCCACACAGCAATAAGAAAAAAGATATGAAAAATACACAAACCGAAGGACAACTAGAAGGTATTTACATTTTTTTTGAGACAGCTTAAAGATAACAATGATTTAAGTGGACAGTCGCCTGTGTCTGACATGTCATGCTTTATGTTGCAGTTTTATAAACCATGTCCTGTGCTGTGAAGTTTTTTGAAGCCAATGCCGAAAGCATGTGTGGTGATGAGGGTCACATAGGTTCCCCTGTCACCCCAAGTGTCTATTCTACTGCAGTGTCCTTGAGCAGTTACCAAATCCTTATCAGCTAAGAAGGTGTTGCATCATTTATCTGACACTGTGCCAGGGCAAAAATATTGCCGTCCCCAAAAAAGATTAACATTTATGTGGTTTTCCCTCACATTGCCGAAATGTGTTTTGGTTATATTCAAATGCGACAAGACTCCGTTAAGAAATCAAGAAATTCTACATTTTGCCCCAAACCTTAAAGGGACACATTGACACAAAATTAAGGTGACATAAAGGGAATTCAGTCTCTCACAGCAAAGGTGCACCACACTCAAAAATCTGTTTCACTTTTGAACACACATCTACACTACATGTACTGAGCACAATAGTGAAATAAGAAGCCTTGGTGCCACCTGGAATTTTGCTGCAATGTGCTTCAACTCCATTTAGAGTGTTACGATTTTGTATTCAGATCTATACAGTCTGTTCAGATCTATACAGTCTATACGAATGCACAGCACCCAGGTATTTTCTAATGTGTCCACAGGAACTTCAGTAATGACAATGTCCAACAAAGAATGATTTAGAAATTGAATTAAATGTCTATCTTGACAACCTTGAACTAGTGAAAAATGGCTCAAAAATCATCAAATGGAACAATTTCTTGAAATTCTGGATTAGTGTACGGTTACACAATCTACACCTTTGTCTATGCTTAACTTTTATTACTTTCACTGACCATTAATCAGCTAGTGGAGGAGGCAGAGAAGGGGAGCTTTTGGCTCTGGCTGAGGAGGAAAGACAAGAGCTGGGGAAAGAACAACTAACCCCTACAACAGCCGCAGAGGGTAATACCTATCAGCTGCAGGGGGTGACAGGGAGACGTCCCTGTCACTGCTCCGCCACCAGGAGACGTACCAGGATTAAAGGAGTGAAACGTTGGTGAATGGTGGTTCCTGGCTGATGACCCTGCAGCTGACCCGTGGGCACAGGAGGAGGTGCAACCGGCAGCAACGTCTAGCAGGTGTTCCATCTACCTGTACTTTTCACTGATAGAAAGGTCCACTTATAATTATGCATTGGATGTAAGCTTATTAATGGAATGCAGGACTGAAGTAATGTTACATTAATACATATAGGCTTTTTAGTACAATTTGTATCAGAAATATGTTGGGGAATAATTATTATAATTAGTCTCTCCCACTATAGAAAGGTTTGATGAGATTAACTGCTACTTGTCAGAAAAAACGAAAGAACATTTGAACAAAGGCAAGTGGTTAGCCACCTTCCTCCAGCTGTCAGTTTGGTTTTATGAGATGGTCAGGAAAGAGAAGAAGGAAATGTGCAACAGTGCGGCAGGGGCTGCATTTAAATTCAGGCTGCCACAGTACATGGGCAATCTGTAATAGCCCACTCACACATCACAGCACTTGATTCGGAAGCTTCACAGCAAAGTCAGGTTTATCTCGCTGTATGAAATTATGACACAAGAACAGGTTGTATGAAATTATGCAAAAAAACGACTATACATTGTTTTACTGTAGATGTGAAAATATGTGTTTTCTTCATCACACTGGGATGGTGTTGAAGTAATCCTAGACTTTAAACTTGAATGTATAATGTTGCCCTATGATTTCAGCTGCCACTTACTTCTGTCGAAAATCATGCCCTTTCTAACTGTCTCTGGCCTTGAGTATACCTTTGTTGTTCAGGCAGGGCTGCTTTTTCATTGTGAGGTTTGTGTCTCTCCCATCTCTCAACTGAATGAGGAAACACAAACAGGGCCCTTTCAGGTCACATCTTTTTCAAATCAGGAAGAGGCACCACTGGTGTGCCGCATTTATAAATAAATCTACCATGAGACAAAAAACAGATTTAATGTTTCGTCATACATTGAAATTTTACAACATGTAAACAAATGGGGGATGTTATCCATCGAGGCCTGTTTGTTGTCGCTATAAATTACAGGCCAAAGCATGCCAGTATGTTATAGCAGTTATAGTGACACTAAAGGCCAGGATACAGAGAAAGACATGCCCTTGATGTGCTGAAGAGCCATGAGGAAAAGGGAATGATAAAAAGCGGGTGGAAATCGGGCATGGACAGAGGTTAATATAGAGGTTAGCATTAGAACTGCACAGTATGCTAGTGACTGAAGGAGGGAAAACATGATATTTAGAGTGGATAATTTTGAATTGGGAGATTTTATTAATATGCCTGCATACTGGCAGGAAATTTTTGAGAATGATATACATACAGCCAACATTCTGGCATTGTAATACAGAGCACTCAAGAACTATGAAAGCCTCTTATAAACATCGATTCACAACACAACATTTTATTTTGCCTTTTGCCAGAGCTTTTCTCTTTTCTTGATGTAAAAAAATATCATTCTCATGTTTAGTACAGAGTACTATAAATGGGAGGATGAAGAAGGATTTTGTCACTTTTCTCAGGTTGGCAGTCATAAGCCTGGATAAGCCGTCATAAATATTAGTGTGTCTCACACATACTGTTTTCAGTTGTTGCAAATATACTGGCAAAGTTTAGCACATCCTGAATCCAAATCCCCCTCCCTGGGTTTGTAAATGCCACTCTACCCCAGCAGCATGTAATTTCTCTTCACATTAAACTAAAACAATGGACAGTACGCTGACCTACACCATTTACAAGCACACTGGACACAGATAAATGGCAGTTTATGTTCAAAGTGTACTGCATCAATTATTACTAAACCCTTGACTTTGCTGGTGAATTGTGTTAAGGTTTTAGAAGCAAAAAAAGCATTGAAAGACGAAAAAGAAATGATAAAGGTATTGCTACACTGGTTGGCTGAAGTCCTTGAGGCAAGCATGAATACACTCTGAGTCAATAATTTATGCGCCCAGACACACACACATTCAAACGCACACACACATACAAAGTGAGAAAGAGAAAAACGGAGCATTGCTGCACAGGCAAACAGAAGACTGAAAAAGCTTCAGAGACAGAAACAAAGTCTGAGACTAACAACTGGAAGCCATACATATGTCGCCAGATGTGAGATGCTATTCTGCTGTCCACTATAAAAGAAAGAGAGATGTATCAAGGAGGTTTGAGTCAGTGGTATTTCTACTGTGTTTGCTTGCCTGACGCAAGCAGATAGTAAAGGTTTTTCCTTTGGTGAATGCTTACACTCAGACACTCATATGCTGTCTTCACACTGCCTGACACATCTCTTGAAGCTTACATAATGTAGATCTGCCCTAATTTCCCTCTGCCTAGCAAAACTGGGGTCTTCAAGCAGCTAAGCAACATAACACCATCAATCCGACGAACAGATGAGTCAAAGGTGATCCAAAGTGGTTAGTTGACTTATTAAAGTAAATTATTATTATTTTCAGACACAGATCCTGTGTTTATCAGTCAGGCCTAAAATCAATGCAGGGAGGTGTATTCTATGCAAGTCGTCTTTAAGTCTTTCATATAAAATGTGTACAATAACATGCAGTAATCACATAAATGTCAAAAAGCAGCATTACAAATTAGTTCACACTTTTGTGTCAGTGTAGTTCTGCTTGCTTTAGAATTGTTTTTCTGTGTCAGGTAATTGGATGTTTCCATGGATACTGAGCTTCCACAAAGCTATGCCTGCTAAGAATAAAGTTTCTCTGCAAGTGTCTGCTAGCATGTGCATGCAGATGTGTTCGTATTGCACAGTTACAGTAAGGTCAGATATCCTTATTCCAGCTTTATGCACATCACAGTTGATACACCAAAAGCATCCTTTGTTGCTATGAGAAGCTTAAGAGCAAACATTTTGAATTCAAACGTGTACAAGAAACTCAAGTACATTTTGTAAAACTGCCCTATAGGCCTGTTCTGCTACTGCGCAGCTGTTTTAACACTTTGGGCATCAGATATTCATACATGAGAGAATCGATCATTTAAGCTCTTAGTCAAAATGTCTTTGGGTGATACTGAGTAAAATTAAGACATCATAAATTATGCCATATCAATGTTGATTATGCAACACAGCCTGTTATTTCCCATTTGCCTAACTGAAACATGACAAAGGCTTAATCTGAACATTTGAACTGGATATTGTAATTTTAAATTTTCATTTTGTGCAACATTTTTATATCTGCCCTCCCTGTGCATCATGACATTCACTGCAAACACCATGCTTTAAGGGGTGGAGGGAACACAGAAACAAGGGTATACGAAATGAATGCATATGTTTTATTCATCAGCTAACAACTAAAGAAACAGCACATTTTAGATATATTTACCCCACATATTCCTAGTTGTACTGTATTTTTGCAATAAGAGACCAGTTCTTTGCTTTTCAGAGCCGGTGCAAGTTTGCATGGAAACACTGATGAAGTGTTCTATTTACAAATCAGAGGTTGACATAGAAAACCACCGAAAATCATATGAAACCCAAACAAAACAAACAAAAGCAAACGGAGGAATAAGACACTGAATGGACCTATTTTTCTTTGCAAATTAAACATTTGCACATATACAGAGGACCGTCACATTTAAATTTAACATATTTTTGGATTATCAGTATTTGTAGTCTCACATGTGACAAAAATCTGAATTTGGTCATTGATTACAAAAAGCTGAAAGAGAACAACCTTACAAGTTTCAGTAATATACAGTCAATGCTGTTCCATTACACAGTTGCCTTTGCAAGATACTTACAAATTGAAAAAAATGTAATGACAAATAAAATGGTAAAAGTATCAGATTTTCTTCCAAATACACTGGCAAACTAAATGATTTGCCTCTTTAATGATGTGCTATTTTCTCATCTGTTGCATTCGTTTGATTGTACAAAACCATACATAAAAAAAGAATTGTTCATTTCAGAACTAGACCAGTTAACTAGATGTCGACCACTGTTCACAATAAAATATTTTCTGTATCTGTCTGTGCATGTTTGCATGTTTACAGTGTTTTTCTCCAATAAGTTCACAGCAAGATAAAAAATCTACATGTAACAAAGTACAAACCTGTGCAGGTTTACATCATGCTTCAATGTGTAGATTCCATTTCATTTGTTCAGATGAATTTCCAATAGCATTTACACAGTGACAAAATAATCATAAAATGTGAAAGGCAACACACCAAGACTGTACACTTGATAAACAGCGTGACTAATGCTGCGGTGTAACACATGGTGACATGCAGACAGGGTCTGCAAACACCATGTCCTCTAATTAGCTGAGTTAAGATGACATGTTCAGTGCATAATACTGCATATGATGTGAAATTACTCTGTGTATTAAACTCTCAGGGAAAGTTAGATTCATGGGCTTATACTATTGACCCAGAAATTGGTTAGACTGCTTTAAAACTGGATGATGTTCTCAGTTTGCTTTAGAGCATAGAACACTTTTATGCATAAAGACGACTGTGTCCATTCAACTACTGCATTCATTTGTTGTGCTTTTCAATCTACTAGCTAAAGCTCTTGCAGACCTTTATACATTTTTTACACTACCCACCAATACCAAGTTAAAAAGACAGAAACAGCGACTGCTAATAGCAGTCAGATTGCCAGATTTCATTTGATCCCGCACAACAGATGAATTAAACAATGTGAAATAAAAAGATGTTCTTCATCCACACTGTTTTCCCCTAAAAACACATAATTAAAGATATATGAAGTTTTAGAAAAAATTTAATTGTCCAAAAAGTGGTACAAAAGTACCTCTGAATATTGATGTGTATTACATTTCTAATAAGCATTTATGGGATTTATGTGATGATATTATTAAATATCATGTTTGTGAGTGTTAGTTGGTAACTGAGGGGATGAGCTGTAGGCATGTAGTACAGATTGTCTAAGTAGTCTATATCTATGCATAGTGCAAGATCTTCAAACATGTTACTTATGGAGTTATCAAACCTACTTCTATGGCTATATGCTCATGTTACCATATTGTGCATTTCAGAAAGTGACATCATTGCTGACCTGGAGAAGTCAATAGTGCAGTTTTTTTTTTTTTGTAAAAGAAACAAAATAAATATTTATTTGTATAAAAATAGTCAGTTAAAACATGTCAAAGATTTTCAGCTGACTTTCAAATAAAAGTATTTAGAGATACACTGGACTCTTATTGTATTGCAGATCTAGTCAAATGTATTGCAACTGGAAGACAATTTTTGTAGGTATTCAGACATATAATAAAGAAAAAAAAGGTTGTAAGGGTGCAATAAAACACAGGATTGTGCTTTGATGTGCCCCTCTGAGTGTCAGAATTTGCATATATTATGAGCAGATTTTTTGTGAAGTGCTTTGGATCTGGTGCAACTAAATAAAGACACTTATTACAATTCATCAAATTGCAACTAGTGTGTTTTCAAACTGTATGTTTGTGTAAAATGCAAGAAAATACATTTGTACATATTTGTGACATTTGATTGACCTGCAGTTAAAGCTCATTTTCTTTCAGTTACAATACATCTGATTACAGTTGTGATTATACTCTTTTAGTTACAACATTTCTGAGTACAGTTACAACACATTTATATTTAACTGAATACAAGCGCAACTTGTGTCCGTAATCCACAAGTGCATTTGGTTTGGAGATGGGGAGGTGCTGAAGGAACACCACAGATACAGCATATGCACTAGGTCAGTTCAGTATATTTTTAGGATACATTAATTATTCTCTCCCAAATCTGCATACAAGAGAGCAGATTTACTGGCCTTATAATCTTTAATTTGAAATATTACATTGGAATTTGTTTTATGATCTCATGCATTTAATATTATCATCCCAGAGCTGTACATGCTGGAGGACAAACTACCTAGCTAAATGTATCTGACTCCATTTTTCACAGGAGTACAATTTCCTAACAGATGTGTAGCCTGTGTGACTTTTTTCCACAACTACACACAGGCCAAATTCACGGTCAAAGATACATTTATTTGTAGAATAAATTGGATTTAGTCTCATGTATGAGTTAAGTTTTGAGTAAATTTGAAAAGACATAACTGGGAGCCATACATATAACTAACAAAAACCTGGTTTATTTTGGGATAAGAAAATATTATCTGCACGGTTCATTAACACTCATGAAATGCAGCTAATCTGAGAGTAAAAGCTCAGGCTCACATTATTGTCAATGAGACAGCTCCAGGATGTATTTTATGATGGGATGAGTCATAAGAGCCCTGAATATCTAATTGCTTGTTCATATTTACCCATTTAAACCAAACACCACAGGGATAAAGGGTTAAGTAAAATGTTCCCCTTTATTATTCAGTCCTGTAAAACATGATTCCCAGAAATGCATACTGTGGCTCACAATGCATTGTCCTAATAAAGGTGATAAAAGTGTAATGCCTGCTTTTTTAACATGGCCTGATTCCTGATTAAAATGGATACATCGCATCAGTGCATCCACTCTGAATGTCCACCACGGTCCAAGTCTCTTAAAACTGTGTAAATGTTGTTCGTTTTTCAAGAACCTCAAGGTAATCAGGATCAATGTGAAGCTTTGCTTTTAGTTCCCAGTACTCACTCCGGTTGGGCTCCACATAAACAGTACTTGGTGCTGTGCAATAGAGTATTGTCTGTTGTATTCTCTCTGGGTGCACATATTGATGCCTTGCATCCAAGTCTGAGGTATACTGACTTGATGAATGCGCTGTATGCTTGCATGGTAACGTATTGCTGTAACGCGTGTGCTTGTCACGCTCAAGTACATCTCTGTAGTAACACAGATCATCTTGGTGAGGGGTGGAGGGCTTGTTAAGAGGCTCTGGAGTGGTGGCACTGTATTCTGAGCTTATTACATTACTCGCTGCCTCTTCATCTGAGTTACCCAGAAAAGCGCCACTCAGCTCATCAAAGTCTCTAAATCCATCCACTGATTTGCTGTCCGTGGGGGTGTGGGCAGTGGTTCTGCATGAGGACTCTGTGGGAGGTGGGATGTACTCATATACATGTCCTGCAGATGTTCTGACTTTGGGAATGGATCCCTTTTTGTAAAGGCCATATTCCATGTTGAGAGAGCTAATGCAAGCATTCATAGAGCTATTTTGCTCGTTTTGACTCTTTTGACGTCTCTTTTTCATTGCCACAAACAATCCTGCAGCCACAAACACAGACACAATGAACATGAGGAGAAGGGCAAGAATCATCACAGATAAAGGAATGGCGCTGTATTGTGTGTCAGAGTCCAGTGATGTCTCTATCGTGATAGTGCTGCCAGGAAAGGATTCCTCAGAGGGTGGGATCATGGAGGCAAGTATATCAGAGTTATTAGGGCAGAAATTTGTTGTCTTAATGTATCTCATATCCTCTCCAGCTAGCCTCTTAGGCGAGCCACAGATGACATTGTTTACAACTGTGCCTGTGCTAAGCTGCTCCAGCCACATCTTCAACTCCAGTATGCTACAAGAGCAATCCCAGGGATTCTCAAACAAATCGACTTGCACCAGTGCTGTAAGCTGATCTAGCACACCACTAACCGGCAGATATCGCAGATGGTTGTTGCGGAGATTTAGTCTGGCTAATGTCAGGCCGATAAATGTTCCCACTGGTAAAGTTTTCAAGAGATTATTGTTCAGAAAAAGAAGCTGGAGTCTGGGTACATGCAGAAAGGTGTCAGAAGCAACTTCTTTAATTACGTTGTATTCTAAATATAAGAACTGTAAGCTCTCCAATCCATAAAACATATCAGATGCAAGATGGTCTATCAAATTCCCGTTAAGGTATAGTCTTCTTAGATTCATCAAATCGGCAAAAGCTCTGTCATGTATGCGAGCTATTCGATTGTTACCAAGATGAAGCAAATCTAATCCGGTCGCCTCAATAAAATCTGATCGACGCACCACAGGGATGTAGTTCCCTGTTAGATACATCTTTTTGGGATTGTAAGGTTTGGGATTTAAGTCAGAGATATGCTCAATCTTTCGCTCCTGGCAGTTCACATTCAGGCCAAGGTCTGAAATCTGAAGATTGCAGGTACAGGCAGTTGGGCAATCTAAAGGCACGGGGGATTTGGTTTGATATGAAATAATTTGGCCATAATTCTGTGGTTTATTAGATGGGACGCGAGCAGTGGGTCTTGATTTTAATTTGCCTGACTGGCGAGGTCCCTTAGTGGGTCTTGATGAGGACCGTGCAATCCCAGATGAGCTGAAGGCTGTGACTAGAGCTGGCGTGGTCCTATAGTATGCATCGGTGCTCAGATGTGGCAGGGGGGGCATCTCGTATTCAGCGATGGCTCTCCTCGGGCACAACTCTTGTTTTGAAACCTCATCAAGATCTCTCCCATGAAGCCGAAAAGGGAACTCACAAACAACATCGCCGACTAAAGCCGTGTATGAAATGCTCTCGAGCCAGGTTTTAAGAGCAATCAACTCACAGGAACAGTTCCACGGATTCTCCTCCAGCTGTAACTCCACAACACTGTTCATGTGCTCCAGCAGACCTGAGTAGGGAAGCACTTTAAGCTGATTACCCCTTAAGTCCAAATGAGTCAATGGTACATGCTGGAAAATGTTCACGGGCAGCGTAGATATTAAGTTGTCATTTAGAATCAGGACCTCCAGATGTCGAAGCCTGCTGAAGGCATTTGGAGCCACATGAGTGATATAATTATAATCAATTTGTAGATACTCCAGACTTTCAAGGCCAAAGAAAAACTCTTCCTTCAAGGCATCAATTTTGTTATTGTTAAGATGTAATCGTTTTAATCCCTGAAGTCCATTAAAAGCTCCTGCTTCAACCTCAGATATGTCATTATTTCCCAAATGTAATATTATGAGTCCTTTGTACTCAACAAAATCATTGGCAGACAGCTTTTTCAAAAGATTCCCTGTAAGCAGCAGATGATACTGGGAGAAGTACACTGGGCTTATGTCTGAGAGACTTACAATTCCTCTGTTTTCACAGCTCACTGTAAGTATCCCCTCTCTCTCCTCACAGGCACACAGTCTTTGACATATTTCTCCATAACTGCCATACATCTCACCAGTGCACACTGACGTTGCACTTAGCAAAAAAAATGAAATCCAAAGATGCATTTTCCTGCAAATGATGGCCCAGCTCACAGTCCTGCTAAGATATCCTCACTGTCATCTAGAAATAAAAAGACATACATGGTGATGTAAAACAGGGCAGATGGCAATGAAAGCAACTTCCACACAACAAAGATGTAGCCTGCCTGAGTCAAAGCTTCATTTGCTGTTACCCAGATGTAACTTCTGGCTGTGTGGTTGCTGATTTAAAATGGCTCAAACAAAAGCAGGGTAGAAAGCAACTCCTTCAAGCTATGTAAATAACAAAAAGCAAGGTCAAAGCAAGATATAAGCACAAAACAATGGTCTAAAACCCGCCGCGAGGGGAAGCCATCTCGCATTTGCTTGTTAAGACATGGGAAATGCAATTAAATACTGGTTTGAATAAAAAGCTGTAGAAATTACCGACGGTTTAGCTTGAGATTCTGCATCACAGTTGCATGCCTTGTCAGATATAAGACGTCCTGCATAATTTCTGTCTAAACTCCCGGTAGAAACACACAGCCTACCTCACGCACATTGATGAAGATGTAGGCTCGTTAGGTATTTCAGCGCATCTTTTATTTTTAATCCGCCAAAACGAAATAGGAAACAGGATCTATTCAATGCGTGCACGTTCGTCGTCTCTAATGCAGCGGAGAGGATGAAAGAAACGCTGATCAACCATAACTGCCAAATGCTTCTCTTTTACCACGCTGTGCCGGAGGAGACACAGCTATGCCTGGTAACAAAGTTGCTTATTCTCTCTTTCTCTCTCTCTCTCTCTCTCTCTCTCTCTCTCTCAGTGGATGCTCACGCACGCACGCTCGGCGGTCGAGAGGATGTCAAGTCATTTCATGCACAAAGAATCAGCTCACTGGAGCATCATACCGAGATACATCCCCCCAAAAGATGTTGACCTACCTACAGAAAAGATGTCCCCAAAACAAACAAAAAAATCCACAAAAAAATCAATAATTCACCCGGCCTGGCGTGCTCCTGCGCGCTAACGGGTTGTTAAACCGCTTATCGCGTTATTCATCCTGAGAACAAGACCTTCACTGGAATGCTAAATTACATCAGCTTTTAATCTGTCAATCCTGTAATGTTAGGTAGCTGGGGAGAAGGGGGGGTATCCTAAAATATTGGTCACAGTGAGTCTTTATTTTTCACCTGACAAGGATTGATTCATCTTTCCAACATCACACTGTCAGTGTAATTTATCCACATCCCAGTTGCAATTTTTGGACATTTCACCTGAAGAAAAAAAAAAACGCTGTTGATCCAGTCACATTGCATAAGGTACCCTGCAAGTAGGCTAATCAGGCTTTTAAATGACTTTGAGCTTCAGTGGTTTATGGTTCAGTCAGAAATATTTTCAAGATCTAGTAAACCCTTGAATGAACTGCCACACTGGTGCTATTTCAACTAATCAAAACAGTAATAAAGTACTTATATGGCGTACGCAGAACAGCTTTAACAATCTTGTCATCCACTGCATAACGCATGAACACACTAGGACTTAGTAGGATGTGTTGGCCTGTTGATCAACAGCAGAAAGCTTGAAATGGTGCAGTTTTTGCCCCTTGCTTTATTAGAATTAAATAGTAAACTATGAGTCACACAAAGGGCATCACTTTGTGTTGAAAAGTGGTGGAGGGTTAGGGGCTCAGATTAGTGGTGTGAAGAGACACTTAGCTCGCGAGACATCACAATAGGCGATATTAGGTTCATGAGAATGAGACCAAAAGATCCTTAAACAGTGTTTTAAATATATCATCAATGCCAAGATATATGAGTGGGGGTTCCTGGGGGACCTGAGTAGGGAAGCACTTTATCTATGTAAAAGGAAACACAAAATTCAGGTGGCAGGTGACATTTCAAAATATATAAAAATAATAGAATATAGTGCAGCTCTCAGGCATTCTTATTGCTTTCAGATCTGTTTCTCCTGTAGATCAACCTTTCTGTAATATAATCCCTGCTGAGGCAACACATATGCAGGCGTGATGTAGTCTTCCCTCCTCTTTTGTCATGTTCAAAGGGAGAGAAAGGAAAACTTGGCCAAAAAGAAACAAGAAGTGTCAAGAAGTTGTTAAAGTTGTTTTTTTAGCTTAAGTTACTTTTATGAACAATGCACATTTGTTTCTTCTATATTTTAATTAATTTAATTTAATTTTAAGGTTTTACATGTTTTACATGTGCAAATAAACCTTTCTAAAGGCAATTTGTTATTAAACTGCAAGCTATATTTCAGAACGTTTTTTAACAAAGTATGCTCTAAAAAAGTGGTGGGGACAAAATCAGCTATTTCAAAAAGTGGTGGGTACATGTCCCCTGCGTCCCCAGTGTAAATGAAACCTATGAGTCACACAGAGTATGACTCACCTGATCTTAATGAAAATCAAACAGTTTTGGCATGAGTTCTCACAGAGGTATAATTAGAGTGAATTATTCACTTCCCTCATTTTAATTTATCAGAGGCACCATCTGAACTGGTGGCACATGTTGCATACAAATTGTCATGTACGTTTAGTGACGGGGCAAAAGGTAAAGAAAAAAGACCTGTCATTCCCTTCTGAACCTGATGCGGTAGCACTCACGTGGAAACATGTCAGGTATCATTGTATATCGCTGTGTCCTCGTAGAGCTATATCCATCATCCTCCCCACTTGGCTCTTGCTCACATGGGAGGAGAGCAGGCACATCAGGGACACTGCCTGTGGCTCATATTAAAGAGTATGAAGGCTGTATTCATCCTGCATGCAATTCATTTGTGCTTCTGTTTCCTCTGCCTTTAGAGATTTGCGCTGCATATTGGGCTAGACCATTAACATTAGTTAAACTCCATCATTACACCACCATTTCTGCATATATTAGCATTCATGTTTGTTGCAATACGATAACCATATCTTATTGCACTAAAATATGTCATCACAAACATCTGAATGAGAGAAATTGGGTTTCATTTTAATGAAATCTTCCAAATTTTGTTTTGTGAATGTCTTTGCCTCTTCACCCACATGTTTGCATCTCTCTGCAGTATGATAATTCATCTTTATCTATGGTCAAATTGTGCGGGGGGAACACGAGGCACACACAGCCGATGCATGATACGGGCTTCAGTGAATATATCTGCAAGTCTTCCATGACACTGAACATAATCTTCATCAACTGGGAGCAGAAGACGGCACTCTCTCCGCGCACACACAATTCAATTCAAGACCTTTATTTCAATTCAGTTCACACCCACACACACGCGCACACACACATGCATGCACACAAAAAGAATCAGCATTACAAATGACTGGAAAGAAATGATGATGACTAACAATTATGGGCTCCAAGGTCAGAAATACACAAATGGAGTTGGAGCTATGCCACCGCTGATGATGGGTAGTGCTTCTGATATATGTTCCTTACAGATGGTGCGTCGCATTTTGTCAACTGTGTCCAGCTGGAGAAGAGGACAAGAACACTCGGCATCGCAGTGAACTGGTGTGCTGATGTCTGGCAGGAACATTACTGTCAGGCCTCTCACAAGCCTTTGTTGCATCAGAGTTGATGTTACACGGTAAACAACTACACAACACAGAGCTTTTTAAGATAATTATGTCAACACAATATGCAAGGAACTTATTTTGTACTCTATTTCCAAAGCTCTAACGCTTTTGGCCCTATGAATATTTGCAAGTGGTCTACTTATAAATTGGTATAATATGGAAAAAGAAAGAAGAAAATATGCCTTTATTCACCATTCCCTGTACTTTTACAATTGAAACTGTATTTGCAGGCCTGTGTAGAAGTCTCTGGTCCTGAACAATTCTGTGACAGTGAAGAGATGGTCAGAAGAGGCTTTAAGAGGCCGCTTCAAAGAAAGGGACTGGGAATAGATGACAGCAAGGGGAGGACATTGCAGACAGCCTGACACACTGTGTCATGCATAATCTAATCAAACAATGTGTCCATCAGGGAGGTGCAATGTTTCTCCTGGGTCCTCCATGATGAAACCTCTACTGAATGACAAAAAGAAGTATTTTATGTCAGGGACAAAGGGGAACTGCAGTGGGTACAGAAGAAGCAGGAGAGGAAGATCAGGTATGGAAAAACTGTTACGGAAGAACTGAAGAATGAGGACAGACTGCAGCAGAAGAATGTAAGCAAGTTTGTTGTGGCATGAAAAAATTCTTTGGATACAAGAAATCTAACAGCAGGCGGTCTGAAAACATGCCTCCTGGGGTCTCCCTCGAGGAGGTGGGGAAAAAAAGTTGATGGCCACATTATCAGCCATCAGAGAAGACACCTCTCACCCCCTGCATGGATCCCTAAACGCCCAGAGCAGGTCCTTCTTTGGCAAGCAGCTCAATAAATAAAGACACACTACAGCATGTTTTTTTTCCATCTCTGCTGCCACAAGGCTCTGCAATGTCCTCTGTTCTCAGCAGACCATAAGAATCTTCAGACAATAAGACGTCTTTTTACATAATAGCGGTTTCAGTGCTATTAATATGAGTATCCACCCTTATTATCATCCAACACTATGTGCTCAAATGTAAATGCTACAGTTTACTCCTTCGAATGCAAATTTACATGTAAATTCTAATAATTTCATATTGTTTCTTTATGTAATCTAGAACATATTTACCATTTATTTAGTGCACACCGCATGTGACACTGTGTGATCGTATGACTTTATATTGTGCATATAATGTATGTATGACACTAAATTCCTTGAAATTTAATTTTGTTACTTATTTTGTTTTCTATAACCAAGATAGCTGCTCTTTTCATCTTGGTTGTTTGGAAATGTATCAGGCTTCTTCATCTTTTAAACCACACCTGCACCCCTCTTCACCTACTAGCCACCCAAGTCCACCAAACTGCACACTCTTTTACCTCATGAGTCAGGAATTGTTGCTGAGTCTATAAAGCCAATTTAAATACAAATAAACTTGATGACAACGGGCAAGTGCCACTTGATTCAGCTTCTTGTTCGCTTTATTTGTTATATTATAGCACTGTTTTGTTATTTTTGTTATATATATAACTATAATATTTCTCAGTTTTGTTTTTTTG